AAACAGGCCAAAGACAACGATGGGCTCATATTCCAAACACCAGCCGCTGACATTTGCACAGCATCCACAGAGAAGACGAAAAGCACAAATATTCCAGCTCTGCAGGAGCGCTTGGAGAGGTAAGACTTTTCTCTTCTTTCATTTCTTTCTTCTTGCTCAGCAGGCAGCCATTTTCCTGGCTCAGGCTGAAGGTTGTTTGGCACACCTGGTTCGTAGCAAGAGACAGCAGGGAAATGAGGGGTGGAGGGAGGTCACAGTGCTCAGAGCCGGCCAGGAGGCCCCGGCTTAACGCCGGCATTTTATTCAGACAGACAACCAGCTCACTGGTCATTACTGCTATAAGGGGATTTGAGGTACGGCTACAAGCTCACCTATTTCTGCAGCTTTGTGTTTTGTTTGTGTGGTTTGTGTGTCCATGTGTGAGAGAGTTAGTGTAATGCGGTAGTTCAGTTGTTATAGTAAGCCAAATGTTTAAATATTTTCCACAGTTAGAGAAACTCAAAAACGTACATCCATTTTACCTTATTTATTCTATTGGTTATTTATGTTGGTTTTTAAAACTGTTATTTTTCTCTTTATAAGTCCTGGTTATTACTGGACACTTATCGTGGTTGTCTATTGTCTGTGTTGTTTGTACAATCTACCTATGAGTACAAATACAAGTGACGTAACCCAGCACTGGAAAAGAAATACTTCATATAGCACTGAAAAACAGACAACTGGAAGAAAATTCTCTATAATGTCACAACTGCTCTATCGTGGCTGTTCTTTAGCTCAAACTGACCTCTGACCACCTTGAAAAATTGGCTTACATATCATATTTCTTCAAGATCTTAAGCAATAAATTATTTAAGATCATAATATTTGGTTTCCTTTTTTCAGAAGATAACTCAAAAAAGATGCATAATAACCTGGACATTTTTAATGGTAACGGTTACCAGATCGTACTCATTACCAAATTTCCAAGAACCGTGGATTCATTAAGACACGTGCATTTTGTTTCTGTTTATCGGTTTCTAACTTTTTTGCATATTTCATTCGTGTTCCTGCTTGAACTACAACGAGCATTTTACGGTCGATAAAAGTTGCACTTATCTGCCAGCAACTGCTACACGGACATAACGTCACATCATTGGTTACGCAGTACGTCAACAGAGCATGCGAGAAGAGAGTACTTCTGTTTACACCTGCAGAAAGGAAATTTCACGCAAGGGAAGAAGCACCTATTTACTTCAACACGGCGTGAATCTGAAGGAATGCACCATGTTCAACAGTAGCAGTGTCTCGTGCTTAGGTACAAAAACAAAGATGAGCTGACACTAACCTTTTGAACTGAAAGTAAAAGAATGATGTCTACAAATTATTACAAAATATATTTCTCTTAGATACGCTTATTACAGTCCTTACGGCCACAGACCAGATTTTTTTTTTTCACTGTTGTATCAAAGCATTTGAATTTCAAGTATCATAAAAAATGCTTCTGAAATAAACTGCCTACCCTAGCTTTAATTAGAAGACAAAATTTCCCCTTCAGCTGTTTACTTAACTAGAAGATGAAGTAAGCAGATAAGGTGTGTGTTGCTGCTGATGTACTGTTGAAAGTGACCTAACAAACTGATGATAGTTTAAACAAACTTTCATTTCAGCATTGTGCATTTTTTGTTACAGTTTTACAGATTAAACTGAGTGTGGATTAAACAAATTAAAAAGGCGGTTTCCACTTCTCTAAGACATTGCTTATTAGTCTGGATAACACACACGTGCACACACATCCAGCTGACCATTAAGTAGACTTGCTGTAAAATAGAACAGGTGTACCTCATTTGGTTGTTGTTAGTACACACATTGATGCAGGTGTGCTTCAGTACTGGATGGATAAACACAGTGACGAACAATCCAACTGAAACTGTCAAACTTCCAAATTCATTCCCAAGCACCTAGCTAACCATCTAGATAAGTCATCAAGTTCACACACACACACACACACACACACACACACACACACGCACGCAACAAAAGCCCTGAAGACTTGTACTGCTCCACTGGAGGAGGCTCTGCCATGAGAGGCTGCAGCGTGCCCGTCCTCTCAGGCGTCAGCACCATCTCCCCGTGCTACCTTCTCCTCATGTCAATACATCATATGTTAGAGGCCACAGTATAAAGCGTATTCCCATTTCCTCAAACAAAGACCCTCATTTGACTGCATCGGCATATCTCTGTTAAAAATTCAGCGGACAAGGGAAAGAGCAAGTCTCTGGCTTTATAGAGGCCTTTGATTCACACTTCTTTTTTGACGCATGAGATGTTGTGGAGACCAGCAGAAGAGAAAGATACAGAGGGGTTCCTCGGGATGTCCTCTTTGCTTGGAAGTTGTTTGTTCGGATGTGCTACTTCTGCACTCTGAATCTAGCATTTTATTACTGCACTCTAAGTTCTAACCTTAGTGAATGTAAAAAGACATCAGCAACAGAATGTGCATGCAGAAAATCCCCGTTGCTCCAGGCACACATTTTGGTGGTGCGATCCCTTCAATCCAGCCTCTTATGCCGGAGCCAATGAGGCAGCAACATAGCCATGCAGGCAACTCGGTGAGCCATGGCATCACAGAATTACAAATAGGAGGCTGTTTGAAAATTACTCTCATCTTCATCCTGCGGAGGACTTTTGGAGGAGAATGTACTATCTACTAGCAGGGCGTTGCTGGACTAGGTAAACAACACCATGGCGACTTTGGCAGTATTTGCTGGTATCCTGGGGGGATGCCTAGCTAGTGGTGGGCTGCCTTCAAAAATGTGCCTGTGATCAGACTGTCATTGTCCCTTGTTTCACCCTCACTTGGCAGTGGATGCACACACAGAGGAAGAAGGTGGGGAGTCTGCTTTCTAGTTGTTGGCAGTTGAGAAAAACGATGCCCATTCACAGTTTGGGCATTGAGGCACTCACTGGGCTGAACCAGACCTTCTTTGTTGGCTTTGGAGGGGGTGGGGGGATACCTCTCTCTGCATTCCCTTACAGTGAACAAAAAGAGTGTTTTTACAGAGCTGCTCCGTCTGTGCACCACAACACGACCCGAGAGACAAAAAAAAAAAAATTCAGCTCTGTATGATATTTCATGCTTCACAGCAATATACATCAAACAGCTTAAACAAACATCAAAACATGTTAGTATTGTCTGTTTTGTTGTTACAGTTACTCCCTGGTTTTACATCTGCAAACCTGGACAAAGCACAGGCGCGCAATGTGTCAGTCTGTGCTGCAGCATGAATGTGAGCCTCCAGCAAAAAGAGAAGCCGTCTGGAACGCTGCCAGCAGGCTTGAGACAGTGGAAACTGCAGCAACAATAGCAAACCACAAAAACGCACACAAGACTATGGACATGGACACAGAAGCGTGCAATGCAAGTAAGCTGGGTCCGTCTGCACTTCAACGCTCTGATAAAAAGGTCCTCACTGATGGAATACAAATTGCTCCAACAACAATTGGGCGGAGGAGGGTGTGATGGAAAACAACTTTTCCCTCAGATGACTATGACCTGAAGGCAAGAACTTTGCCGAGCTCAGCTGAACAAACCGGGCAAGCAAAGTCACATTGACATTCACTTGAAAGAGCATCAAAGGAGACGCTATGAGTCAGTGAGGGCTCAGTGCACGAGGGCAAATAACCCACTCCGTCCTCTGACGCCTCAGTTGTCATGTTGCACATCACCTCTAGGTATGAAAGGCATGTGAGCAGCATGGAGGGTGACAGAAGGCTGAAAGTGAGAGTGACAACAGGACTTATCCGTGTCACATGCCAAGGCTGAAACCCATCTGCACAGGCCAGTGGCTTCCCCGCTATACTCCCACCCCACCCCCCTCTCCCCCTCCTCATCAGCCTCACTTGCCTTGAGTGGGTACAGATGTGTGATCCACAGACGCTCCCACTCTGGACCCCTTATTGGACCCGGAGGGCTTAACAAAGGCTGGCGTGTAGCTTGAAGAGCTCCTGGCCAAAGTGTCACAGCACACAGTCACATCATTTGCAGGCGATTGTGTGAGGGTGATAGAGGTGCAATAGCTAAATGCATTTTATCACTCAAAATGACCTGAAAGAATGCAATTTAACAGCACGCATAACACTAGCATGGCAATCTGATCATTTATATGATTACATGCACGCAGGCAAATAATCAGAATACCTTTTTAAAAGATTTTACAAACAATGATGTTAGCATGAAATATCCTGTATTCCCGCTGAAGAAGGTGCAGCTTACGCATCCCATGGAATGTATTATTACAAAGTAATCATGTTTTTTCTTCTGGACACACTTTTCTGGTCTTATTCTGATTGTTTGTAGAATATTAGACTTCATGTAAACTCAGCTACAGACAGCGGAAACACTCAAGTTATCTTTACTCATGACACTGTTCTCCAAAAAGCGCTGGGTAAATTTAGACAACCAATATGATTGAGAGTGATTTATTTTGTCTGTTTGACAGAAGATTGGCAAACAACTGTCCCACTGCTTCTATAGACTGTACTGTCAGAAAAATCCAGAAAAAAAGAAAATCTGATTCAACAATGGAAATATAATAACTTCTTTCAAGTGTGCCTGACTGTTTTTATATCTGAATAAGGCAGGCTGCTGTTTGTCTGTTGTGACAGCAGGAAGATGCTGGCAGCATTCAAAAGACTGACTGAAACTTATTTTCTCTATGAAGCCACAGAAACATAAAAAAAAAACTGCTTGTTGACTATTTTGTGGATAAAGTGTAGTGATGTCAGATGACTGACAGGATGATTTGATGAATATGACAGATTAGAGATTCATATTGCACAACATGGTCATGAATTCACTCCCAAATATACTTTCTCAAACTTTATATCCGATAATACAACCAGATGATTACTGCACTTCCACCTAACCCTTGAGGGTACTTTGTGTCAACTGTCCAAACCCTGCATAAACATGCAACTGCCATGATCCCCCTGCAGGGTAACGTTAACCGTCACATCCTTACCTCTTTGACTTTTTCCCGGCGCTCGTTGGTCTTGGGGTCGCTCGGCTTCCCGTTGTCTCTCCCCAGCGGGGGCTTGAGCAGACACCTTTTGAACTTGTTGTAACTGAAAGTATCCGAGTTGCCACCATGGTCAGAAGATGTAGCCTTTTGAGAGGCGGACTCCGTTTTTGACCTCGGCGGAGTCAAATCCTCCTGCGCTTTGCCCCCGGCGAGCCGCTCATCGGTTGTCTCGTGAGAGACGGACGGTTTGCGGCTCAGACTTTTCAGCTTGGTGCTGGTCTCCCCCTTGGCGGAGGTCATGCCCCGAGGGTGCTCCTGTTCCTTGGGTCTTTTTAAGTGCTCCCTGGCATCGTTCTCGGACCCGGAGCCAACAGTGACTGGCTGGGTCTCCGTCTTGGAGAGAAAAATGCGTTTTAGTCGGACAGAGTCGGGTAAAAAGAAAAGGGCCCCAAAACACAGTGTTACCAAACCCGAGAGAAAGAGCAGAAACACGAATTTCTGGGACAGGCGCAGACCCATGCCCGATGCCGACACACCGGGCAACTTTCGGAAAACCATTGAAACTTTTCTTCTGACGTTGCCTTAAAGTATTTTCTCCGACACTGCACAGTGTTTTGACAGTCTCCACTCTCTATTCAGCAGCTTCTCTGCTGCCTTGAGTCATGTATAAAAACTAGATATGCGGGAATTTAAAACACACCCCCGTGACACTTACAGAGTAGCATAAACAGCCTACCAGAGCTGTCTTTATCGCGCTATCGATTGGATCTGCATATAAGCGAAGGTTAGGCCTGCCTACATCAACAATTTACCAATCATTTGGCAGCAACTCCGGAGCTTTAGGGATTTATCTGAATAACGCAATCACTGACATCAATAGACTGCAGGATTTGGGTTTAATAAAAACAGCAGCTTCGGGCTGATAGATAAATGACAGTGGCGTTTACAGAAGCACTGAGCTGTATTCAAGAACAGGATCACTGTAGCATACGCCGGGCTAACAAATAAATGCACTTTTAGAAGAGATAATCAAACGTCTCGCAGTCTGCCAGGCCTGTGAACAAAGTTGTGTCTCGATGCATTATTCCACGCCGTGCAAATCGTTAATAACACACTGCCTCACGGCGCAAAACCTCAAGCATGCAGCAGCGCATCTTTTCCTCGTCTCCGTTTATGCCGACCCACGTTGCTGCATTAGGCTACAAGCCTGAAATCATATTTGAAATCAGAAGCCGTTTTGATTGCATCTATCCTGTGCAGCTGGTGGACGGAAACGCGTGTATATTCATGTCGCCTTATCTGTCAATTGCGCTCCCCTAAAAAAAAAAAAAAAAAGAAAAGCCTCAGTTTCCACTGGCGTCAACACGCCGGGCGACACAAATCGCTGGATGACATGAAAGAAGGCGGGTTTTGTCCCATGCGAAGTTATCCTAGCCCCTGATCCAAATCCACAGAATACACAAATCCACCATCCAGTCCGCCGGTTTCCAACAAAGACGGACACACCGCCGCGTCGTCGCTCCGGTACCCCGACCGTCTGCCTGCCGTGCCTTCGCTCTCTCGCCTGAAGCGCGCACTGGTGTCGCTGTGTCGCGGACGTCCGCTTGCGTAAAAAAAGCGAGAGGAGAGGAGAGGGCTGGAAATGTAACAGAGCCCAGCGCAGGCAGGGCGAGGAAGGGGAGAGACGAAAACGGTCCGCTGCTCGACAATCCAGTGGGCTGGTCGTGTTTCTTGATGGATATTCACAGCGGCTTATCAAAACACAGTTAAGCCGCTTGGACAAAAGCAAGAGATCTGGTCTGAATGGCTCTCTGCACGTTAGAAAACCCTCCACACCCCCGAGGAAAATGAGCTTTTTAATCCTGGAAAAGCTTTTAGACGAGGATAGATATATCTGCTACAGATGTCTCAACAGTCCACAGGAATTATACATTATACATTGAGCCAGACATAAAGAAAGCAAAGAGATTGCAGCCCACCATACAAGACTGTGTTCAGGTTTTTTTGGTTTATTTTCAAGACCTCACTGTCTATTAAAGACAACAGTGAAGGGAAACTCGCCTAATGAAATTTATTAATTCTAGTAATTCATTCAATAGGCTACATTCCTATTATTTATTGTGTGGAAAGTTATCTTGTTAGCCTCTTAAGCATCAGTTTGTGCCTCTCAAATAACGTTAACGTAATCATTGTTTTTCATGTGGGAATTTGGCATAGACCCAACTTTACATTTAAGCTAACAACTGGTTCCCTTAAAGTTTAAAGAGCCAAGCAGGTCGATAACAGCACTTACACTTTCCCCAGCTTTGAAGGCATTTTCCGATTCCTTAAAGACTCTTCTAATAAGCCGAAACAAAAAATATTCCGTGGGATGTAACGTTACATTAGAGAAGATTGTTTAGCACGTTTCCCGCGTAGCAACTCTTGATTAGCCAATTTACTAGCCGGAAGTGACGCATCTCCCTCCAAGTCTTGTTTACTCTCAGGTTCTGTGAAAATTTTAATTTACAGGGTAATGTATGAATATAAATGCCTTTTTATACATTTTTATTTTAAATGACAGGTTCATAAATTTTCTGCTGGGTAGAATAGTCTCAAAATGTCTTCAAAACAGCTGTAAGTGTTGTCAAAACACCTACAGGGGTTTTTAAAGTTTTGCTTCTTTGCAAAAGTCTGAACTTTATGTAAATAAAAAAAGATTGATGAGTGCCATAAACTAGGGTTATATGCTCATGATGGACCACAGACAGTCTACAGAGAAATTTTGTGAACTTTTGTGAACCCCAGTAAACTCATAATACATAGCATCCGTCATGGATTTTCCTATGTCATCCGTGACCGATTCATTTATTGCATTTGGTTCATTTGGGCCTGTGTTGTTGCAAAGCTCCCCACTGATTTGACTTAATCTGAAGCACTATCCTCTTTCCTCATGACAACAAACTAAACTAGAAACTGTATTTTCTCTATACAATATACCACATTGCTTTTTCCACATGTTGTTTCCCTTCTAGATTTTATTCATGTTACTCAGAGAAGTGAGATCTTCCAACACGCAAGCTTAGTGTTGTTGCTGTTAGGATTTCAGATCCATCTCCATGACTGAGCAAACTCTATCTGCTGATGAAGACTGTGTGATACAGTAGAAAGATCTGGAAAAAGCTAGTAAGTGGACCCTGAGTTGGAAATGGTGGACAGGAAGTTTATAAAAGTATGTTTACATAATGTTTACATGAGCAAGATAGAAGCTAAAGTGCCAATGGTGTTTTCTTTCTGGATTAAATAAGATAGATGAGCTCATGAGTTGGCCATTACTGAAGAGCCTGCACAGCACTATTCAACTAATGCACCTGGAAGCAGGAATGAGAAAATAAAGGTCTGATCGGTTTCAATATCGGTTTTTAATTACTGGGCATAACCCCGCCCCTCACCCAAAGGCCTCCGCTCGTCCTTGGAGACCGGTGGGTTATTGGTGTTCTGCGGTCCAAAGGTTACCTCAGGATCTTCTTACAATCAATGTATTCAATGCAGACCATCAGTGTCACTGACATTCTTGACAATGTCTGAGGAACTCCTAATGAACCTTATTCTCAGATCTTCCTGTCTCCTTTACTCTCCACTGTTACTAGAAGAATAATTTCAATATAAAAGCCGATCTTTTTTACCTTCCAGGCAAAAAAAAGTTGACTAGAATTTAAACATGCCTGCTCAAATAATACGCACTCATCAACATCTGACACGTGAAACTCCTCAGGCAATTCTTTAATAATCATAAGGTGCATGTGGTGGGACAAGCTAATTTTAAGGTAGGCTAATTTCTATTGCATTTGACCCCGCATTTTCACTTTTAAGCCATCTAATTGAGTCAGACTGGTTGTCTGTAATTTACAGAAGAGGGGGGAAAAAGACAGAACTGTTGAATGAGCCTTTTTTATTTTGTGATCCAAGAGCATTTCCTCTGAGAGTAGGTAAATCTATGAAGCATTTTGTGGGCTGTATCACTGACAAAAGGGCAGTTTGTAGTCAGAGAGAGGGGCTTTGTGATGGCTCAGCGTCTGCGTATAATGAGGTTTGAATTTTCTTCGTTTTATGCACTACAACATACAGTGGCCACTTCGTTAGGTGAACCTGTACAATCTAATATTGTCTATCAACTGTTGGGCCATAATGTTATGATACCTATAATGTTTGTTTTTTTGACACTGTAACAGAGATGTTAATTCAATTCTATGTTTTAGCATTGAGGTCATAGGTCAGTGATGGTGTTGTGTTGTAGTGGACTGCAGTACATTCAGAGGTGTTTCTAATATTCTGCCCCTCTCATGTATGTAAAATGGTGAGGACATACACCTCTTTATATAATGTAGTCCAGTACAGCACTGCATTTAACAACTTCAGTAATAAACATAATTGAATTTACACAATTACTTTTGACAATAATCATAGATTTTGTAAAGGTATATTTTTTGGCAGAGCAGTTGTATTGGATTGCATTAGATTGCACAGGTGTAGCTAATAAATTGGCCACTGAGTTTATCTGTTGCACAGCTCTGGAAAAAAGCACTCCATTAATGTAAACACTGAGGCATTTTAGATACATTTTACCTTATGGATTATTCATCTGTTTATGCTGATTCCACTGAAATAAAATACCAACTGCTGCCTTTTTAAAACAACTTAATAAGCATATCAAGTCAATGTTTCTCAAAAGGCCAAGTTATAGATGAGTTCAGTCGTTGAGCTTGCATGAAGCTGCACCAGCCAGTGACAGCTTATTTTCTCACAAGGATAGATGAGTACAGCAATACAGTCTCACCAATACCAACAGGCAATGGTAAAATCAAAGCGCACACATTTTTCACTGAAAATAAATGGTTTATACATGTAAATGGCTCCTATAAAAGCCATTTCTTGTATGCTTTGCATTCACTCTCACCAGTGAAACAAACTGCTGTTGTCCGGATGCAGTATACGATTTCACAGCAGAAATGTCATTTGTGGTGACTGCTGGCTCTTCATAATGCAGCACTGGCAGCACGCACACACACACACAGCATCCTCATCAGCTCAGTGCTGAACAGACTGGCATCCTGATCCTTCATGTACAAACATAATTTATACGCATGGAGAGGGAAATCTGGCGCTGCATGTGAAGTTGTTTGCATGCGGTTAACAAGGATGCATCCCTCAGCCAGGCTTTGTTATCAGAGTGGCTCGTGGTTTATCAGTTGGGAACCATTTCCACAAACAGAATACATTAGGGAATAGAAGAGATGATTTTGTGCCCTCTTTTGTAATCTTTATTGGCATGTTGTAATGATTACAGAAGATATGTTCTGTGAGAAAGTATTTATCATTCCGTTTGTTTACAGTTCATTTTAGGATTTGTCAAACAATTACAAAATGACCACTGAGTCTCTAAAAGTATGCAGGACATGGACTAAAACAGCTGACTATCTTTAAAACATTTTTCGCAGAGGGGCACAGACATTGTCCTGTGATCCATAAGCATTTCTGCTCTTGTATTTAAAAATCCAATCCCAAACCCGCACTGATGTTTTATTCATCAAACAAGATGCCAATGAAAAAGTCCATCTCTGTGTTCTGCTCATACCAATACATCAAACAGCAGGCAGAGATGTATTGGCCCGTGCCAGCGTGTCTGGATTAATAATGTCACCATGCCTGCTATTTGTTTCTTTAAGCACAGCTGCAAAGCCTTCCCTGACTTTAGGAATCATGGCCCAGCAGGGCGCTTAATGTTGAGCCATAAATATCAGGGATAGCTTTTTGGGATGGGGTGCTGACCTTGGTGCATGATATGAGAGATATATACAAATCTCGACAAAGCATACATTAGTTGGGAACCCAACCGTAACCCTTCATGAATTCTGGGTCATCTGACAAGATGTGACACTGGCACTTCAATCCTGATCACCACATCTTCTCTAAGTAAAATGTACTTTAAGTCAAAGGACTCATTACGCAGAATGGCTTCTGTCAGAGAGTTTATTATCTTCATCCAGCATCTTTAAATGCTAGATCATGGAAGTAACTAGTAAATGTAGCTGTCAAGACATAAAACAGTATAATCTTTCTCTGTGAATTGTAGTGGAGTAGAAATATAATGTAGCACAAAATGGAAATACTCAAATGAAGTACAAGCTCATTAAAATTGTACTTAAGTAAGCAAATGTACTCAGTTACTTCAAACATTGCTAGTCCTGCATGTGCACTACTTTGCTTTTTGTGTGCACGATTCTGCTGAAAAGGAGTGGGTCTAAAGTGGCATGTTAAAATACCCGCCTCTCTCCTCAACATAAATAGAACACAGCTCAGATCAACCATCAGTGCAAATAGTATCAGCGGAACAATAAACTCAGCATTATTGCCTTCCTGAAGCTATATTTGTCAGTTCCTTTTATAGACAAGACAAACAGCAAACTGCTGTGTGCATGCGGCCCTCGAGTGACCCTTCTCCACCAGATTCATAATCAAAACATTTCTTGTTGTGTAACAAAATATTTTCAAAGCACATTTGACGATGCTGAAAATCTGAAAATTCACTTATAACATCGATGCAGTGGTTCAGTGTTTTTATTGCCTAAACACAACAATTAGCCATACATTGGAGGGGGTATATGGGCCATGTAAATGAGAGGGAATGCAATAGCAAACACA